AGATTCAAATGCTCTGTGTTTGTGCACATATGTAGGGGGCAAGAGGATAACAACAGGACTCTATACAAGTTACTTAAATAAATAAATTAAATAAATGCAAAATAAAATGGCAGCTTCTCAATTTATATAGCATAATTAATGTAGAAGAAAAATTAGAAGTACTAGACTTCAGACCGATTGAATATAGTAATAATAAGTGTAGTTTTGGTTAATGAGCATGTAAAAATTAGGAATTAAATTTATGAATATTTGGACAATTTTGCCTTTAAAGAAGAGATTGGCTATATTCTGGAGAACAGTAAGCAATATCTAATTAAACCAAATGAGCCCTTAACTGCATATTTAAAAGGGTTATTGATTGTAATGGTATTCAAGTATTTGTAATGTTTTGTGCTAAGGAAGAATTTTTCACTTTTCATAAATTTTTGCATGTATGAATTAATGTAATTTATGTATTCTGTTTTTAGGAAAAGTTGGATGTGGCGATAAGAAAAGAAGTAGATGGAATGGGAGCACCTGAGATAAAATACGGGGATTCAGTCTGTTTCATACAGCATGCTGACACGGGTTTGTGGCTTACGTACCAATCAGTGGATGCAAAGTCTGCAAGAATGGGATCTGTACAACGTAAAGTAAGATATGATATACAGTGATATTATACAAAACATATATATGTATGGTGAAAATGGAAGGACATCTTCTATGCTTGCATCTTGGAACTTCATATTTATTTATTTATTTGCATTATTTATAGTCTGCTTTTCTCACTGAGACTCAAAGTAGATTACACAGTGTAAGTCAATACGTTTGTTTGTTTGTTTGATCTGATTTCTAGCCCACCCTCCCCTGAAATGCAAGGCTCAGGGCAGGTTACATGAAAAAATACAATAACAATACAATACATTAATCTAATATCAACAGCTGTTAAAACCTAAGAACAAGGTCCTTTATAATATCATTTATGGTGGCACTTAAAACCAGTGATGGTGACAACACCCATCTCCAGGCCTAGAAACTTGGGATGAATTTTACACCCTACAATTTTTTAATATACTTTTGTTTTTATAATTGAGGATTTTGGAACTGCTTATTCATCAGCGTGGCTTCTGTGCAGTCCCACACGGGGACTGCGCTTCCACAGGCCAGCCACCGGGAGGAACTAGCGAGCTCATAGTATAGAATTTTCTTCCCAAGAGTGCTTGGCTCCTGCCCAGGCAGCAATTTCCCACCCCAAAATCACGTGACCTGGGAAGAGCCAGCACTCTTCCCGCAGTTCTCTTTTTGCAGCCACTGAAAGAGGACGTGTGTTCAGTGAGCTGAAGTCTTCTGAGGTAAAAATTATGGCCTCAGAAAAGCAGAAAGTGGTTCTATTCAAGAAATGCCGTATTTGTGGAGTGAAGTTGGCTCAATTGGACGAGCACTCCTCTTGTCTCCTGTGTCTGGGAAAGACCCCCAACACGGCCTCCTGTAAGGCCTTAACTCCTCGAGCCCGTGAAGGGAGAGCGGCACGCTTGAAGGCAGCCCTTTGGGAGAAGGCTCTGGCAGCCCCAGAATCCCTGTCTCTGCTGAGCACTTCGCATGGCAAGGGCTCTAAACCACCTTCGGTGAGTTCCGCCCCCTTTCTTGCACCGGCCCAAGTCCCCACAGCCCACTCGTCCAGGGCAGAGTCCGAACTGCCGGTGAAAAAGGCCAAAAAGAAAAGGAGTGCTCACAAACGGTGTTTGCCGCCATCTCCAGTGCCACGGGGTGATACATCCAAGACTGGCGCGGAGTTGGATCAGCGCCATCAATCTCCGTCGCCTCAGTGCCGACAACTGGTCGGTACCGATGTTTGGCCAGCTTCCAGAGGCCACTCCTTGCCTCAGCACCATTCAACATTGAGCTCCCCTCAGTACCGATCCCCGTTGGTACTGATGATGTTCAATGACGGTTCTCCTCTCTCAACATGGACATCCCGTCGGCACCGATCTCCCTCTTCTGATGTTCTGTTGTTGGATCTGCTCAGTTCGGGTCCACGTTTCGATGCCAGTTACATGCCTCCTCCATGGTACCCCTGTGCTTGTGGCCATGCGATGGAGGCTCGACGTTCCCGATGGGTTCCTTCTCACTCCCCTTCACCACAGTCCCACATGTCTCGCTGAGGGGCCTGTCATGATGCTGACTGCCATGGCAGAGTCATGGGCACGGCGTTAGTGCTTCGATGTCACTCTTGGCTACATTCGTCTGCCTTATCCCCAGATACCAGAGCTAAGTTGGAAGACCTCCCCTTCAAGGGGAAATAATTGTTTATTGATGAAACCAATGAGGTGTTAGAACATATACGTTAATACAAGTTACAGGCGAAATCCTTCGGGATAACTGCCTCGGCCACCAATCAACCAAAAACCAGGTATTGGTCCCGCCCGTTTCACAAGCCATCCTTTTCCAGGCCTTTCAGGTATTCAAAATCTAAGTTCCAGCCACAGCCCTACCAGGCCGCTACTAGACCAAGCATGTCGTAGGTGTTCCGCCATATTCATTTAATGTCTCCTAGGACACTTGTTCGCCACCAAGGCTGTAACGCCATATGCTAGACTATGCATGCGCACACTCCAAAATTGGTTCCTTAGGAACTTCCATGCCCATAGAGATCATCCTTGGCATCACCTCACTGTTCCGCAATCTATATTACAGGATTTACTTTGGTGGACTCTATTACCTCATTTTCTAGCGGGGGTCCCTTTTGGTGTTCTGCCAAGCCGCAACCTGGTCGACTCCTCCACCGTTAGTGCGACATTATGCCTTGGATGTAGATGCTCGGAGAGAGGCGGCTGTGGGAAAAGCAGTACTACAATCACTTTTTCACTGAGACCTCCCACTCCCTCCTCCGAAGTAAGTGAACTTGCTATACTCCCATGTGGGACTGCACAGAAGCCATGCTGATGAAAACAGGGGTTGCACTTACCTGTAACCTTTGTTCATTGAGTGTGCTTCTGTGCAGGCACACATCCCCTCCCTCCTTTTCCACTGTGGGAATCTCATACTCCTAAATGGCGGCAAGGGAGAACTGAGGGAAGAGTGCTGGCTCCTCCCAGGTCATGTGATTTTGGGGCAGGAAGTTGCTATCCTGGGTAGGAGCCAAGCAGTCTTGGGAAGAAATTGCTATTTATGAGCTCGCTAGTTCCTCCTGGTGGCTGGCCTGCAGTATCGCAGTCCCATGTGTGCCTGCACAGAAGCCCACTCAATGAACAAAGGTTACAGGTAAGTGCAACCCCTGTTGTCTTCTAGTCCTCAATGACTTAGAGTGAATGTGGAGCATCAGCA